GCCTCCCGCGATTCTTGGGGCTATTTTGACCCAGCCATTGCGCGAGGTTGGCTGGCGGGCGCGGGGGTGCTTCACTGTCGCAAAAACAGGACTTATGGAGGTCGAGGCGGTGTCTGCGACAACATGGGGCCGAAATGCGAGACGCTTTGTCCGCCGCCCAAGACCCTCATTGGTGGGTCCACAAATTCCTCTACGGGCAGTGACGCGCCGCAACACGGCTTCGCCGTCGGCGCTGGAGCGCCTGGAGAAGTTCCACACCCGCGCCGCCGGCGTCATCGCTGGCGTTCCCGTCGGGGCCTCTCGGGCGGCTGCTGAAAAGGAGGCTCGCCTTCTCTCGCTGGAGGGCGCTGCGTCGATGCGGGGTATCCGGTGCTATCTGCAGTCGTGCGTGCGCGGCGGCGAGTTAGGGCAACACGCCGAGGCTCTTTTTCGCCTTCCGACCCGATACACTCAGCCCCCCGCCTGATGGCGGGTAAGTTGCACGAGCATAGGTGATTTTGGCAGGCTCCATTGCCGCGGAGCCCCTCGATGCCGCCAACGCGCGTCTACCTTGGCACGTCGCCACCGGGTGGATTGGGCGCCGATGCCGATCCGGAGGAGAGACGCAAGGGATGCACGCTGCGGGTGGAGTCGACGGCGCATGCCCTCCTCTACACTCAATGGGCGGGCGGCTCCGTAGAGCTCGGAGTGCGGTCTGGCTGCGCCGCTCGCTTGTTTTAGCGCCAGGCACGCGTCCGTGCAGTATGAAGTGTGGCGGCGGCTCGCTGGCGCGCGGCTGCCGTGCGAAGTGCCAGGCCACGGAACAGAGCTCCGCTGAGCTCCTGCTGTGCGCACTGAAAACGTCCGCCAGGCGAGTGGCGGGCGTATTTACTGCCTCACCGTCCCTTCTCCTGAGCGCGCTTGAAACGGGCCCGACCCGAGCCACGGACGGGGTGCTCCGCCGCATTTGGAGCGTCATTGCCGGCCCGCTCCGTCGTGGCGCGTGCGCCTGCGCTTTAACTTTATTTTTTTTGGGCGCGCCGGCGCCCCTCACACACACAGCGAGGCGGCTGATGAACTTGCGAAAGCAGCGCTGGGGGAATTTCAGGACGCACCCGCGCGGATGGCGGACATCCGCACCGCCAACCCGCCGCTGCCGCGCACAGAAAAAACTGAGGGGGCCGCCATTATCCCCG